TGCCAAATTGGATGTAAATGTTGATATATCCAAAAAGCCTGAGGTGAAATATTTAAAAACACAAGCAGTTCTAGGTCAGTAATCAAACTGAGGCAGATTATTGGCACTGACAAAATGAACGCATTTGTAAAAACAGATTTCCTTGAGGTGGATTTGATCAACTAATCGGAGGTTTGGTGAACTAAATCTACCTGCAGTTGTTGGTCACCTGTTATAAATATGGCTGTACCTCAAATTCCAAACTGAATTTTGCTGACTAAATTAACATTCTGAATGTGGGAAACATGGCATCAGAACTGAAAGTGTTAAAAGTCACATTGTTTTTCTAATCAAACAGAGTCTTCCTCAGTCATGGTTAGACTGAAGGTTTCTAAAGTGGTAGTGCATGGCACTCTAAAACACTTTGTGGACACTGGGTTAGTTGTATCCAAGCAGTATCAGGGAGACCAAAGTGAGCACACCAAAGCAAGATCAATACAATCAGCATATTTCACTGAGAGATAAAGAAAAAAGCAGCGTCATTATAAATACAAAATTTACTAAATAAGGAACACTATGTAAGGAAGACTTTGTTACAGAGTAAGTTGTATTCCTGTCAGGTGTAAGTGAGTTTGTATTTTCACATTTTAATTATGCTGCAGCCATCAGCCAATCATTATGGGCTGCATTCTATAAAGGTAGTTGTCCCCTGAACGCTCTTTCTCTTTGAAGCCAAGAGCCCATTTCAATTCCTGTTCACCTTGCTTTACTGGCTTCTGCAGCTGTGGCAAGCATGGGAACAGTTGCTACATCTGTCATATCTCAGCTTATTCTTTGTATATGTGGTCGTTACATTAGTCAGTTTTGTGTTTGCAGATATTTCTTTGCTACTCCCCATGTTTATATGCAACCCCCTTGCAGTGTGTTGTGCACTGACTTGCACAACACATGCTGATGTATAATACAATGCAAAATTACTAATTTCTGATCTGCATCAATTTCAGTCACTTTATCTTGCATACGTTTCAGAAGTCTGACATTTTTCCCTGTCAGATTTGGACAACCGTCTGTTGGGACTCCTGCCAGTCTGTCCCATTTCCGTCCCAGCGTCTCCATTCATGCATCACTCCCTGTAGTCGTCCCTTTCATTGGCCGCATTGCTGCCAGCTCCTCCATAATCTTGAAGTCCATTATCCCACGGACAAATACAAGTAACTGGGTGGTGTCATGGACATCACAGCTGTTGTCCAAAGCCAAAGAGAAATAGTCGAAGTTCCCACCTCACGTTGCAGCTGAAGCTCCAGATTCCCCGCAATGTCCTCGATCCTTCTCGTCACGGTTCGCCTGGACAGTGGGACTTGCTCAAATGCGCCTTTTTTTTCAGGGCATATTAGCACTGCAGAGTCCACCAAGCACTCTTTCACAATCTCCCCCTCTGAGAAGGGTTTACTGTTTTTAGCGATTTTGTGTGCTATCACAAAGCTGGTCTTGGTTCCTGCATCCCTGGATGTTTGAAGCTTGGTAAAAAAAAAGCTTTGCTGCTGTTGCAGCTTCGCTAGCAAAGCTTCTGATGTCCGCGCCCTTTCAGAAAGTTTTTGTATTTTTCTGCGTGTTTTGTCTCAAAATGCCAACTCAAATTGTAATCCTTAAACACGGCGATCTGCTCTCTGCAAACTAAACACACTGCTTTACCACCAACGTCAGTAAATAAATACTTAGCGGTCCATGTTTTGTTGAAAACCCTGCATTCCGCATCTACCTTTCTTTTTTTAGCATGACCAAACATTTTGATGGCTAAAATTGCTTTGTGATCTGCTGGTGTAGATTCAATCATGCATGCGTATTAACGTATTGCGTCATTATGCACGTGAATTGAAAAACTATTTCAAAATAAAAGCAATGTAGCTTTAGTTTACGCATGAGAAAAAAATGAGAAAATATGTTTATTTTGTCATTACAGCAGCAAGATGGCGGCGCGCGTAGACGCAGCGGCTCTGTGCTCTCACTTTCAGTGCTTTGTTTTTGTATTTGTTATGTACGTCATGCTTGTTTCAACTGCCTTCTGTCGAGCTAACGTCACCTACAGCCAACAGGATCTGTTAAAAATTGGAGTTTCGTGCGAGATGAGTATTACAGCGGAGTCCTCTCGTTCATACAACATAACAAGGGCTCTTCGTGGATCACGTTCTCGACGAGGAGGAAGTGGAGGCGGCGCAGGGAGTGTAGGCAAAAGAGGAGATGCAGGGCCAGCGGGCTAGCCAGACTACGGAAGCGGCCACACAAACCACCACTTCCCAGCCTCTCCCTCGCTAATGTAAGATCCCTCACCAACAAAATGGATGAGCTGAGGCTCCGGGCGGCTTCGGACAGCTTCACCAGAGACTGTTGTGTCCTACTCATCACCAAAACATGGCTACATTCATCCATCCCGGACTCAGCTATCGAGCTAGCATGCTTCACAACACGGCGCTTTGACAGGACCAGTGACTCCAGTAAGAACAAAGGAGGAGGGTTGTGTATTTACATCAGCAACAACTGGTGTAACAACACAGAGACGGCAGCCAGCTATTGTTCCCCTGATTTGGAATATTTGACTGTGAAATGCCGACCGTTCTACCTTCCGCGGGAGTTTACTGGGGTCATGCTAACTGTTGTCTACATACCACCGGATGATAATGCTAGCTCGGCTCTCGGACTGCTACATTACAACATCAGCCTGCAGCAAAATCAACATCCAGATGCGGTGCACATCATCGCTGGTGATTTTAATCATGTGGACTTAAAATCAGTGCTCCCTAAACTCCACCAGCATGTCAAGTGTGCGACAAGAGGAGCCAATACACTGGACAAGGTTTATACAAACATCAAGCTGGGCTACAGGGCCAGACCTGCACCACACTTAGGCAAGTCTGACCACATCTTCCAACAACTCATCCCTGCATACACCCCCCTCTGTAATTCCACCCCCACCACCATTAAGACCATCAGGACGTGGCCAGAAGGTGCTTCTCTACAGCTGCAGGACTGTTTCAACAGCACTGACTGGGACATCTTTGAGGATGAGGACCTGGATGTGTTCACAGACACTGTTCTGTGCTACATTAAGAACTGTGCGGACACGGTGACCATGGAGAAACGCATCCGGGTCCACCCCAACCAGAAACCCTGGATGACCAGAGAGGTGAAGCAGCTGCTAAAGGAGAGAAACTCAGCCTTCAGAACTGGAGACAGGGCTCTCTACAGCACAGCCCGCGCCAACCTGAAGAGAGGCATCAGGAAAGCCAAGGAGGACCTCAGGAGAAAGATCGACGACCACCTGGACAGCAACAACACCAGGCAGGCATGGATGGTGGTCCAGCACTTCACCAACTACAAACTCGGCATCAGAGCTGCTGAGGGCGATGCTGAGCTGGCAGAAGAACTTAACCTCTTCTTCGCCCGCTTCGAGACTGAACTACCATGAGCAGCCACAGTGCCACCAGCGGCCGGGAGCAGCCCCACCCTCACAGTGGGGGTGCATGATGTGAGGCACATGCTGAGGAGGATCAACCCACGGAAAGCGACGGGTCCTGATGGCGTCTCAGGACGGGTATTGAAAGACTGCCGATCAGCTCGCTGGGATCTTCACTAAGATTTTCAACCTGTCACTGACAAAGTCTGCAGTCCCATCCTGCCTGAAGACCTCCACTGTCATCCCCCTACCCAAGAAATCCCCCACAACCAGCCTCAACGACTACCGGCCAGTGGCACTCTCACCAGTGGTGATGAAGTGCTTCAAAAAACTGGTTAGGAGTCACATCATGACCTTCATAACCCCCAGCTTGGGCCCATACCAGTTTGCCTACAAGGTAAATAGGTCAACAGAGGACGCCGTGAACACAGCGCTACACACAGCGCTACACACAGCGCTGACCCACCTGGAGAAACCAGGGAACTACGTCCGCCTTCCCTTTGTAGACTATAGTTCAGCCTTTAATACGATCCTTCCCCACGGTCTCGTGAGGAAACTGCTGAACCTCGGTCTACCTCATTCTACCTGTCTCTGGATTAAGGACTTTTTATCAGAACGTCCACAGCGCGTCAGAATTGGCCCCCACACCTCTGCACCCCTCACACTCAGCACCGGTTCCCCTGAAGGCTGCATGCTCAGCCCACTGCTTTTCACCCTCTACACCTCAGACTGCACCCCCATCCACACCAGCAACACCCCTTAGAGACTCTGCGTAGTCTCTAAGGGGGGAAATATGTGGTATCTGATATTCCACATGGGTTTATGATTAGAGTCCCCAGCTCAAAGGTTGCATCTGGGTTTTGGACTTATGGGCCTTGCAGATTTATGATTGGAGTAATCAGGTTAAAAGTTGCATCTGGAGGGTCGTCACATTATCTAGAGGATGTGACTCCCATTGGGACATGAACCATATGTCCATTGTTTTAAGTAAACAACTCCCCTATATAAGCTAGTGATTAATGTTGGTCTGGAGGGGGATTCATTTTGGATTCGAATCCTGTCCCAGGCATCTGAGATATTGTACTTGTTCTAATACATTTTTATAAATCAACAAGACGGTATCTACTGAGAATTTCTTCATCATCTTCACATTATCACTACTCAATAAGCAATAATTTGTCATTTGTTGATAAAGTAAGAAGAATTTTCTTTACAGCCCCATGTCTCTTACTTCGTAGTAGAAACAAACTGACTGATCAATGAGAAATAACACTCTTCAGGGACATGCTACACCCTTTGGTGTATCTCTCTTGTGGAGAAGGATTTATGCTGCAGCAGGGCTAGCCTAAACACACCTCAAAGCTTTGAAGAACTAAGGAAAGGGCAAAGTAGAACAAGAATGATTTTCATGAACCTTACTCCACAGTCACTGCACCACAGGTCCAGTAAAAATTTATTATGAGGGCACATTACAACATTGTCAAATCCCTGGTCTCCTGCTGTAAGGTACTCAACATTACAGTGACCTGGAAACACGGCGAAACATTTTATTGCAAGGTACATGACTTACGTAGTGATGACCCAGGCGATCCTCCGCGTAGGATCTGGTTAAGCACATCATCAGTGTCGCTGGTGCTCGCCATGCTGTTTCTCATCTGCATCATAGACAGCTGGGAGCACAGGCTGGGCTGACGATCCATCTTCTTCACTGCCTAGGATAGATCCGTCCCCATCAACCTCATCAATGTCATCAGGACAGCAAGTAAACACTGTTATGGCTGAGTATGATCTTAATGTGATAATACTTGCAGTGGTTGCACAACCAAAAAATGATAAAATAACCAAGGTTGGACCCACCTTGTCACTGAGCGTGGGATCATTCAATGAGTACAGTTTATTGGTGATGTCTTTGCCGATGAGATATCTGAACACTTCGTTTAGAAAAGCATCTGACTCCAGGAAATAGGTGAGTCTCTCTCGAGACCAACACAGGAACTTGCAGTTCTCCTCCGCCATGATAGTCACCTGTCAGTCAGTCACGATAGAATTTGTTTATCTATGTATCTATCTATATATCTATCTATTTATCTATCTATGGAGTTAAACTAAAACAGTTTGTTCTTTTTTATTCAGTTCATTTTTATTTATATACCACAATTCACAGCATGTCATCTCAGATAGCTCTTTCTTTTTTCCATCAGATTTTTACCTGAAACTTTTCTCCTTTGTGCATCTCAGTGGACCTGAACTCTGGAGAGTCAATAAATGAGTTGGTATAGATGTTGTGCAGGAAATGGCCTCGGTAGGATACCTTCATCCTGTCTCACAGAAATTTAAAGTCAAAATTCTCATTCTTAAAAACAAAAAGCAATCACTTTTCAGGTAATTTTAAATCCTTTTCTAAAAACATGGCAGTAACTTGTGTTTATTTTAAAGTACGAAGTAGCAGTTCCTCTAATGACCAGCAGATGTTTAAATCAGCAAATTAATCTCAGAATTTTTCAAAACATCACTAATTCAGTTCGAAAATTATTTTTAAATTCCCTCTTATTATGTCCCAAAGTAACTGTCAGGATGATTCACAATAAGCTTGTGTTGCAGAGAATAAGACTAATCCATCATATAGAGGCTGGATGACATGGAACAGCAGTTGCACCCAAAGTCAAACAAAAACATACTTTCCTTTCAGGAGAATGCTAAGGCGCTCATCCACTGAGGTCTTGTCCTCGGCAGCGTATGCCTGGCCTTTCTTCAGTGTCTGGATGGTGCAGAACTGTCCTGTGAGCCTCTGAAACAAAGCCTCCTGCACATGGAGAGGCTCAAACATCCGCTTGTAGACTGACCGCAGCTCTCTGTCGATCTTAATCTGACAGAGCACAGCCACATTCATGGTTTTAATGAAAATCCAAGAAGCCAAAGCTAATTGTAGTAGTGTTGCTGTGGACTATGTGAAAGCATACACTATAGAGTTTGTGGATTGGTGAACGAGCAATAACTGAGGACAGGTTTCCTGCCCCATTACATAAAATCCTGGGGCCTCATTTATCATCAGTGCGTTCTAAATTCTGTCTTACGAATGAAATTTAGAGTGTGCGTAAGTACAAAAAAAAACACGTGGGTCGTACCTACATCAGTAAGTCATCAGTGTTGATAAATCCTACTTGTTCTTAACCACCATGCTCGTGCACTTTCAGGATCATTTACTTCATAAACGCTTCAAATTAACCATATACAGCAAAAACACGCGTCTTTATAAAGCAAGTGAAGATTTATTTTTTTCTCACCTGTCGTCATCATCATGGAAAAAAGGGCGAGAAAGAAGAACTTGTCTGAAACTGAGATCGAGGTCCTTGTCAGCGAGTTTGAAGATGACCACAAACTATTGTTTGGTGCGTGAAATGTTGGGATAAGCAACGAAAGAAAAAAAAACACTGCATGGGACAAGATAACCACTGCAGTTATTTCTGTTGGGTCAGTGGAGAGATCACTAGCAGAATTTTTTCTTTTTTAAAAAAAAATGTGGTTTGATATAAAGCTCAGGGCCAAAAAAAACGCATCACAGCCTATAAAAGAGACATGACTAACTGGAGGAGGACAAATTAATGCCCAACGTTCACCCAGTGGATAACCCTGATCACCTACAGATGAGATTGTTGGGGTTCTAGTGGTTTTGGGAAAATTATTTCCTGTGTATTTTTGCTGTGATGTGCTGTGCGTTGTATTTTCAGGCTGGGCGGGGCCGTGGCCGAGGAGAACTCACTCGCTATCGACCGCACCTGTCCCTCATTGCAATCAGCGCTGCTTTTAAGCTGGTTTCTCCCCGTGATGCAGCGCCAGACGATTCACTCTGCTTAGAGCGGTAGATCGGCCACAACTAGTTCTCAAGTTCTCGTGCTATTTGTTCCTAGTTGTTAACCTTTCTTCTCGTTTCCTTTGCATTCCTTAGAGCCTCCTCAGCTTGATGTCCTCTCCAGCCATCACAAGTCAGCCACCAGCAGCAGCTCTCCGGTTCTCCCTCACTGGTTTCTCACGCCTCGAGCACCTTTCCCCTGGAGCATGGATCCCCCCTGCACTGGACCACATCACGGGAGTTCCTGGATACCCCCTCACCTCCTCCACGAAGACCAATGTGCACCAGCACTCCTCCCTCCCCCCCTCCCGCAATGAACCTTTTTGTTATCATTACCTGTCTCCCTCGTGGCATTCTGGGTCCACTTCCTACATATTAGGAGCACTTCCTAACAGAGATGTTTTAATAGCCATACTAAACCCAGCAAAATGTTTCCACACTTTGTAGCACTCACCACTAAGCCAGCCATTTTCAACAGCTCCTGCTTGGAGATGCACCCACAGAGCTATTCCGCACAATAAATAAATCATGTGTTCCTCCAGGCCACCGGGCAACAATGTCTGATAGCAAATACGCATCGCAAATTGTTTGTACGTTGATTGAATGAAATCTTTTTTTTTTTTTTTAAACGTAATTACATTTGTTTAGTGATGCAGCTTTGAATTATGTTTGGGAATCCAGCAATGGCATGAAGTCCCCGTTTGATTTCGGTTCATTGGTGATGCCTATAAGGAAACTATATGTAGGCTGGGGCCAGGGGAATTATGGCATCCAACACTGCCGGCATCAGTGGCGGCTGGTGAAAATGTTTGGTGGGAGGGCACAGTCTGCAAATGACTTTTTATTTTAAATCAGAAATTATAACATGAGTAAAAACAGGCACAACTATTTACAGGAATGCAAATGTTCTACCTTTGGAGGATATTCTAATCATAATCTAATTTAACATTATTCAGTTAAATTCAATTTTATTTGTACAGGGCCGTTTACAACATACGTCAACACATAGCGCTTAAGGCTTATCAGAAGTAAATTTCAAAACTACTCATCAGTCTTTCATCAGTATTTACAGGATCTGTACAAACTCAAAACATACAACATAAATAATGGAAAAAAAACACTATTCAGGGCTCCTGACTAACTTTTTTTTTCCTGGTAGCACCGGTACGACCCACTTTCTCATTTTGCCGCACCTCCCACCTGGTCAAAGGCGTAACATATGACTTGCTAAACATTTTCTTATTGATAGACACAACGATTTACTGATGTTCCATAAACGCCCTGCATAGCAAGCTGTGGTAGATGCTACTTGGTGGCTATGGTGTGCCCAGACAGATGTGCTACCAAAAATGGCTTTAAAAATAATAAACTAGAGTGTTCTCATGTCAGATTTGTCCAAGATGAAACCGAGTTAGATGTATTCTACATGTGGTCTTTTCTATGAGAGGAAAAACAGCGAATGCAGGTGCGCTCCATTTTCACAAGAAGATCGCATTTTTAAATACTGCAGTACACCGAAGTTATAAAAGTTCTGCTTTCCACCACTGTGATGAACACAGCAGCTTCCTATGCCGGTTACAGCAGCGCTAATACAGTTTAATGATCATCATGCTCATCAATTCACACACTCTCAAGAACATCAAAGGATAGTTTCGATATCCAACCACAGAAGACAAAGCAAATAAAGACAAAATTAACTGGCTTACAGCAAAAGTGGACGGATCTGGGATGCACCATGCTGCACCCTGTGAGAAAGTCTGCAGCTCGGGCCAAGGTCACATGATCACGCAAAGTTTTTCAAGCTACATACACACTCATGTAGCTGGCGCCCCGCATCCAGGAAGTGTAAAATTAGTAAACACGCAGCAAAGACTAATTTCAAATCTGTTAAAAATATATATATTTTTTTTAATATGGCAAACGAATATGAAGGTTATTATTCATTTTAGTATTATTTTGTTATAATTAATTCAAATTGAATATTGTGTTTGAGAACTACTTTTTATCTGGTCATTAGTAGTCAGGTGGCACCCCTGCGCCCCATATTAACCAACCGCCACTGGAGCATGATCCTGCTCAGTGATTGCTGGGAAAGCTGCATATATCTTCAGCCTCAAGCTGGAATGTGCCGGTGGTCAAAATCCCTTAATGCTTTCTATTTGCAGTTACACTGTTCTACCGCTAGATTATGTGTGTAAGCATGGTCAGAGTTATGCATATATTTACACACATTCCTAAGTATAAGTACAAATTAATAAATTCCATACTTTGTGTGGGAATGTTCGTACACACTCACTACGCACGCATCTGTGCGTAAGCACTGATGATAAATGAGGCCTCTGGTGTGATTCTATCGGCTTGATGGAGTCCCACTATATACAGCGGGGAAAATAAGTATTGAACACGTCAACATTTCTCTCAAAAAACATATTTCTAATCGAGCTATTGACATGAAATTTTCACCAGATGTCGGCATCTACCCAAGTAATGCTCACATACAAAGAAATCCAAACATTTATGTCCATAAATTAAATTATGTGTAA